AAAAAGTGGAACAATTCTGGAAGATACTACATCCCAGGATATAGCTAACATGTGGGAATGATAGGAAATGACAATGAAGATCATTGAAGTTTGGGACTGTCATGGAAACGTGAGGCATGTAATAATGCTAGATTTACCATAATTAGAACAGAAAAAATGAGAATACTTCCAAAATCTGATATTATTTTTGTAGATAAAGAAACACAGGTCCAAATAGGTAAGCAGCCCGTCTGTTAGTAAGAAAACTAGGGCAAGAATTCAAACCCTTTGATTCCTAGCTGGGTACATCCTCCAACATAGCAAATATTTTAATGCTTGCCTCGGTGCATGATCTTTGGAGTTACTATGAGCCACCAAATTTGTGTGAGTTGTGTGCTATAAATGTACAAGCAAGCATTGTGCCAGAGATAAGGATCAGGTTCACTTTTGTTACCAGATTCTTAAAAAAAATCAATGACCTCTAAACAATTAAACACCTCAGTGTCATGCCATAGGAACTGAAAGAAGAAGAAGAATTGGATTCAAATTTTGCTACTTTTCTTTCTCCCAAAATGTGCCCTCCTTTCTACTGCACAGGGTGGGTGTGAAGGTCAAAGTGACATCTATGAGGGCTTTGTGGGCCATCTCAATCCCTCATCTCCATTTCTTCTGTATTTGTTCCACTTCCTCCCTCCCTCTAACTCTTTATGTCTGATATACTTGTCCTTGGACAATACTCAATTCTTCTGCAGACAAAAAGGCAAAGCCCTAGAGGTGTTGGATGTATGGACTGGATTAATTAGAGCCACAGTGATGAGTGGAAACATATTTTCTCTGGGTATGTAAAAAGGAATGCTAACAATCAAGGTTATCTTGCAAACAAGTCCACATTTTAATCACAGTGACTATCCTCTTAGACTGGTGGGGCCTTGTGGTTTGCTTGAATGCGGTTATCTCTGTCCATCCAGATGGCGAGGAAGCTCAGTGTATTGGCATTCCTTCTGTTCATGTTCTTCCTAATTGTATTGGCCGTGGATATCCTCTTGCTGCTGCTTCTGTTGGAGAAACCGTCAGGTAAGAGAGATGCTTGCGGCTGCTGTGTTGGAAGGCTGGGCAAAGGAAGTCCCTTCTGGAAGCAAAAGAAGTCATTTTATTCTTTCACACTTCAGCCTGCCACCATGTGGCAGTATTCAAAATCCATATCCACAATTAAATTAAGTCAATCTCAACAAGATGTGTTCTTTTTCTGCAACAAAACCTTGAATGTGAGTGATACTCAGGGTCTCTCAGTCCCCTTTTGGTGCAGTTTTAACAAGATGCAAAGTTAGGGTTGCCAGATGCCTGCAGAGTGAGGAAGTAATACAGGCCTCAATGAGAAAGAACAGTTAAGGTAATGGTGCCCAACCCCAGTACATTATGGAAAAGGAAACTAGGTTACAGGGAAGTTGAGGGCTGATTAAAGTTGGCCTAAGCGTATCATTTGCAAATATCCTCCAGCCCATGTCATGCTTGACGTAACTATGGTTTCTTCACAGATGACTTTGAAATCGTTCCCCTTTTCTCTCTCTCTTTTTTTCATAGACACTCAGAACTATTGAACAGAATGTTTTCTGTGTACACACTATACTGTAAATAATAAAATAACATTGTAACACAAAAATCTATTTTCAATTAAAACTGCAATTGGGGGTTGTTCTGTTGGATGAGGTCCACCTCATTGATGTATAACAGACCAAGCATACAATGAGAAGACGCTGTACTGACAGCAGAGCCTTACCTGCCCTGTCCTGTCCCCTGTCTCCACAGTAAACAGCAAGGCAATCTCTAAGCACTACCATGACTTTGAAAGATGATTTGAAAACCATTGATATAAACCATTTAGAGCTTATTCATTCCTGTTCTCTAGAAAACCTTTCTTGGGTGACAAGACTCATGAAATTATTATCTGGGGTATATAAATAAGTAGTTTCTTTTACTTGATATAGAAGTAGGTCTTCTGTGACTGACTTACTTCACTCAGCATAATATCCTCGAGGTTTATCCATGTTGTTGCTTATTGCAGAAATTCCTTCTTTTTTATGTCCGAATAATATTCTACTGTATGTACATGCCACATTTTCTTTATCCAGTCATCCTTCAATTGACATTTAAGTTGTTTCCATATGTTGGCTATTGTGAATAACATTGTAGTTAACGTGAGAGTACTCTTTGAGATTCTGATCTCAATTCTCTTGCATAAATAGCTATAAGTGGGATTGCTGGATCATATGGTATTCTATTTTATTTTTTGAGGAACCTCCCTACTGTTTTTCATAGTTGCTGCACCATTTTGCATTACCACCAACAGTGCACAAGGGTTCCAATTTTTCCACATCTTTGCCAACACTTGTTGTTTTTTTGTTTTGTTTTGTTTTTTGATAATAACTATTCTAACAAATGTGAGGTGATAGCTCATTGTGGTTTTGATTTGCATTTTCCTGATGATTTGTGATGATAAACATCTTTTCACATACCTGCTGGCTATTTGTATATCTTCTTTAGAGAAATGTCTGTTCAAGTCTTTAGCTCATTTTTAAGTCAAGTTGGTTTTTCTGCCATAGAGTTCTGAGTTCCTTATATATTTTGGAAATTAACCTCTTATCAGATCTATGGTTTCATTCCCATATATTCTCCCATTGCCTTTCCATTTTGCTGATTGTTTCATTTGCTCTGCAGAAAT